ATTTTGTTTGTGGCATTAGCTAGCCCTATCGGTTTGCAAACTCTGCATGTCCTGCTGTATATTCACTTTTCCAGGTCACCTGCAAATAAAGAAAGATGAAAATGCTCTTAACCACCCCAAAAGCTCTCCTCTTAACAAACTTCCACGTGATTCTTTATTCTTTCCCAGCTTTCTCTCTAAACATTAATAAGCTCATTCTTCATCAGGCTGAATAGTGACTTGCACGTGACAGCCTTACATGTGAGCTCTACCTGAGGAGCTGTGCTTGGGAATTTTGCAAAGACTGTGTGTGTTGTGTGTGACTCCTCACCCATGTCCTCTCTGATGCAATGCTCACCAAGGCATTCATCAGGTTTGTTAACCAGACCTGCCCTTTTGCAAGAGACGTCAGGAAGCCCTGCCTGAGAATGAGTTCTGTGGCTAATTTAGCAGAACCTGACCTTTCAGAGGAAGCTGGAAGGCCACTGGAGTGTGTAAGTATGGGAATGGAGGGAAAATACCCATGCTGAAACATGGAAAATGAGGAGAGACCTGTGTAAAACTTTTGGCTGAGCTCCATTGCACATTGGGATGCCAGTTTGGCATAAAATGAACATTGCACTACCTAATAATATATTATTATAGAATATATAGTAATATATGAGATAACCCAAGGATTTTTGCTCTATGAGACTTGGTCATAGCCATAGGAATGGCTTAGTCATAAATATTAGTTGTGAAGAGAATTATATTTATTTCAAGCAAAAAATAACTTTCTCTACTGCTTTTTACAGAAAGTTACAGGAACTATTCAAAACCATTTGCATTTAAACAATATTAAAATATTAGAATACTGAATTTTTGGTAGTATACTGACATAAAATCGCAATTAGTTCAGACATGCAGAGAAGGGGCTTATGCTTCTGACACAATTGGCAAGTCATGTCCCCAGCTTCACAGCTGCCAATGCTGTCAGCTTTAGAGTCTCAGCAGGAGAAAATTTATACCAAGGAGGTGCATGAACAGGGATAGTGGGAGCTCCAGCTCCCTCCTGCTTTTCAGGATTCTCAGCAGTGTGTGTTTCTCACAAATGAACCGTTCCCAGCTGTCTGCCGCCTGCATTTCCAGCCCTGTGGGAGGCTATCCCCAGGCCCAGGTTAGGTGCCGGCGGCGGCTGGGTGACACGCGTGACTGTCCCTGCCTGCCACAGATGACCACAGTGACCTCCCTCCCCCGTTCCCAACCCAGAGTGGTTGTTATGTTTACAGCCATCACCGCCCCAGCCACCACTCCCTCACCCTGCCAGGATGTGGTTGCCATGTCAACAGCCTGTTTGTGGCATCCACCCCAGGGAAGAAAAGGCTGGAGGTGTTGCCATGGGAACCATGCTGTCCTGAAGCACCAGTAGAGCTGGTCTCTTCTCCACCTTTCCTCCCCCAGAATGTTCTGCCTTGAAGCTGAGGAAACCCCTGGACGTGTCCTGCTCCATCCCACATTCCTTCCCCATGGCTGTGCTGGCCCCCACTCACCTGGCAGCGGCTTCACCAGGGGATGAGCTGGTGTGCAAGGGTAACCTAGAGGGTGACCTTTCACTGTCACAGCACTGGAGCAGCTCTCATCTGGGGTCACAGTCCTCAGACAGAGTAATGTGAAGGACTCAGCTTCTCAGAGAACAGTGGAAATGAGAGGTCACAGATTGAACGGGTGAGGGAAGTGCTGGGTGACTGACTGTGGGAAGATGTAGCCGGGGACACACATCTAGATATACATTCTCAGACCAGGCTTGAATCATACAGCAACAACAACCAAAAAGACCTTTTTATCTAAAAATACTTCCTGCCTTACATCACTCTCTTAAAATTTAAAAAAGCTGCAGAAGGTGTGATTTCTTTCAGATAAGTTTGTTGTGGGAAGAAAGTGTCTGTACCAATTCGTTAGAAAGGCTGTAGTAAGAAAGTGTGAAAAAAATATTCACAAATCCAAATATTTCCATAGAACATTAAAATACACAAGTGCTTTTAGCACAGGTATTTGAACAGAGAAAATGAAAGGTCTTGACTGCACAACATAATGAAGCCCAGTTAATGAATCCCTGCTTATCCCTAGAACATCTGAACAAAGTGATTTTCTTTAAAGGATCTCTCCTCTATCAGAGGGAGCCTCTAGGAGATTTGGGGAAATTGTATATTAAAGGAGTTTGCAGATAATCTGAAGAATCAGAATGCTGATATTGCAGAAAAAAGCCACCCCCTAGTTTCAGGATCTCAGGACACTCACACACACACAATATTTGGCTTCTTACATGCACATTTTAGTAAGACAGTGATATAGTAAATACTAAATAAGAAGCATTTGCATACAAGAATATATCAGTGCTTAGAATACAGGATAGTCGAGAGTTCATGTGCATACTCTGAGATTAAAAATACTGACTTGACACTAACGCTGAGAAATGTACAATGTATTCATGTCATAGAGTTCCTCCTGTTGAACCATCCAAGGGGCAGAGATGGACTCTCCTCAGGGAGGAGCACTCTCTTAACTATTGTTATAAATTTGCTGCTGCTTATCTAAGAGAAACATGTAACTGGAGATGACCTCACATAATCAAGAGGGTAACTCAGAAAAAACGCTCAGATCGAGAGATTTTGTGCTGTACCTGCTAACAAAGACATCTTTCTATCTTACTTAGCCTTTGAAAGGAGAACTCTTGTTGTTCTCTAACTGGTATTACAGCTCAATTAATTGTCTGGAACGTGCTTACAGAAAACTAGAAATCATCCTCTAATCTCATTCTAAAGGCCATTATTTCATTTGTAATTGGATGGATTTCAATCATACTTCTCATTAGGATCAAGCAGTTTCAAATCCATCTCAAAGCTAACCTTTGTGTTTTACTCTCCTCTGTGCTCAGCATGTGGCATACAAAATTGGCTCAGAGTATGACATAAAAGATTTGCAAACCATCATTATTTTTCACTAGACTTAGGGCTTTATCTCTGGGGAAATCTGAATTTGTGTAGAAACCTCAAATCATTCCATCCTCTGTATTGTTCAATATATGTCTTAATGTAAGTATATACAGTTTTTTCTGGACATCACTCATCTAGACATGCCTAGGACGAAGCTTCTCAGTTCCACATGTATTTTCCTCATCCACTTTGAAAACCTGCCTTTTCTTTTGGACTTTGCAATGCCTGTAGCAGAGTTTTTCATTGGAATTACATGCCGTATGAAAAACTGTTTTCATCTTATTATTTAATTTTCCCCTTTCTTCCACAGTATGATATTGTCAATTAAAAAATCTTTACCACCTTTTAAACCAGTCATTATTTTACAGGTTTTAATTAAGGAATTCTGTGGCAGACTTGGAACCATCTACTTTTCTGAAGTTATATATAAGATGGATATGCCTCCTTTCAAGAAAATACTTTCTTCTGGCAAAACACCTCATGGAAATAGCACTGGCCCTACCATTACCTCTGCTAGGAATACAAGAAGCCTTACAATCAAAGTACATCGATCTCAGTCCATGGGCCTTTCCTGAAGAACTTCCAACCTAAAACTGGGGATAGAAAAAGCAATAAGGCAGGAACACTAATTAAGGTGCATATGTCTTCAAATGGGTCTGTTTATTTTGCTTATTCAAATTTCTTAGCTTAGTGCTGCTGATGTAGTAGAAGAGAGCTTTTAGAAGGAAATGAGGCTAGTGGGGTGAAATTGGGTACTCTGTGTAGTGAAATAGCACGGAACAATGGAATTGAAGTTGGAGAAGAACCCAAATATGCCTCAGTTAATACTTACTATTTCAAATCTACTCTAAAAAAGTCAGTTTGTTACAAATTTTATCAGAATAAGGAATTAAAGACAAACTCTTCCAAGAGTAGCTTGAAAGAAAGCAAACTACTTGAGTCCTATGTGATGTGATGTAAAGAATGAAAATGAACAGGAAATTCTTCTCTGAAACATCAACTTCTTCAGGAACAATCATATCGACAAAAAGAGTGTTCATTTAGCTATGACACAGAGGATAAATTCCTATCCAGAAGCAAGAGAATGTTAATCTATTGTCATTTATTAATGTAATATGAAATTACCTCATTTCAAAGTAATTTCAAAATGCAAAAAGAATCATTATTAAAATCAAATTCTCCATGATTTAAAACTGCATAAAAAGTTTTAAAGTAATGCCCTGAAACCATCACAGGATAATTTAATTGAAAAGCATCATTCTGGGTTTTAAGAACTTCAGAAAGAGTCTGGTTGCACATTTGTTGCTGTCTGTGTGAATATTAATGATTGAAAGGCTTGAATAGCATATACAGATAAATTAAATATATGAGATAAATATTTTAGAACTTTTACTTGATTTTTCTGAAGGCCTGTGTTTCTCTGACTAAGGCATTAGTGTGGCATATACTGTTTCAAACACAGATATTCTGCTCCTTCTACAAAATAGATAGAAAACAGACATTAATAAAAGAGACCTCTGACTAAGATTTCATTCCCCTGAAATTTTCATGTGGGAAAACCGTCATTGCTGCCACCCTGCACCTACTTTGATCTACTCTGCAGATTAAACAGAATGGAATTTACAAGTATACATATTTACATGTAGGGGACAGTTGATAACATCGTAACCTCATTAGAATTAATATAATAGGAGAGGAAACATGACACGTCCCTGTACAGGAGACCTGTACAGATCTCCAGCAGAGCCCCAGTTGAATCCTCTGGCACATTTCTTTCCTCATCCAGACATGGGAATCACAAAATACATATTTATATGCAGCAAATATAAGATCAATTTTGAAAAGCAAAGTTCACAGCCAATATGGAGTGTGGAACTGTTTGATACTAGAAGGACCAATGAGCCCCTCTTGTGCAAGTAGAGAGCAATGGGAACGAGACAGAATATTGAGAAATCTTAAATAACAGCAGTCTGAACAACAGGAATAATAATGTGTGGAGTTAAAAGGGACAGAGAGACAGCTTACAGCCAGCAGATCTGCACCACCTACCTGAAATACTTTTGCCAAATTGTCAAAAAGGGCTTGACCGGCGCTGACTTTATGCTTGACTCCCCTGACTGTGCCATTTTTGCTGAGGATGTTGACTCGCTTTGTACCAAACCCCTTCTCTTTAGTGGCTCTGACCAGAATGAGCAAGTCGTCCTGCTCATTGTCGTTCTCATCGCACTCCGACCCCGCGTGCCCGTTGTGCGGCCCGTCCACCTCGCTCAGCCGGCTGGTCTGCTCGGTCTCGGAGCTGCTGGCGTACTCGGAGTCCAGCGAGTCAGCGGCCTCGCCATCTGCGTACACCTCCTTCAGCACCCGCCCGCTGTGCGAGGACGCCACGCGGAACCGAACCTTCCTCAGCAGCCGCTCGCCGTCCGCCTTGGCCTCGCCCTTGAACATCGCCTCCTCCATGGAAATCAGCAGCTTGCATTGTTCCAGCGTGGTGCCCATTGCACTCGCCAGTCCGTCACACTTAACAACAATATCGGCGCTGTTTTCTGCTGACAGGGGTTCTCATATTAAACTAAAGAGTGTTCCCAAGAAGCCGCTGCCGTTCTGCAGTTAATAATGGATGCATTTGTGCTATGGTTACCTTTAAACTAAAACCTGTAAAGTGATCTCATTCATTAAATATTAAAAGGACATTGTGTACTTTTTAGCACTAAGGAAGAAAGCAAGAAAGGGAGAAATTATATTCATTGATTAAAATAAGGGGAAGGGAAGGGAAGGGAAGGGAAGGGAAGGGAAGGGAANAAGGGAAGGGAAGGGAAGGGAAGGGAAGGGAAGGGAAGGGAAGGGAAGGGAAGGGATCAAAAAGTGATCGTGGGCTCTCAGGCCCACGATGTGACCTTTGGAGTGTTCTGCACAGGGGCAGGAGCTGGACTTTGATGATCCTTATAGGTCCCTTTGAACTCATGATATTTTCTGATTCTGTGGTTCTGTAATAAACCAAATATTAGCAATTACAAAATTTTATATGAAAGCAGTTTGATTTGCTAAAAAAGGCAAAGAGTTTTTCATGAGACCTACAAAGTCTCCAAAGTGTTTATGTTCATTGCACCTGGGGGAAACATGAAAAACTTCAGCACCTGAATCAATGATGAGTACATTTTTTTCATCAAAACATTTAACTCCCCTACCAGTCAAACTTCATTCACCAAAGTCTGCTTTTTACACAACCTTTTGGAGATTCAGCAAGGAGCTGCTACTTGATGGTTTTCAGTGCTGACCTTTTCACAGACTGGCAGAGCAGTGGAGAAGCAATTAGTCAGAATTTGTTGCACATTTATTTATTAACACAATGTTATTAAATAAAACTGAGTCGTAGCTAGCACCACACAGCAACCACAGTGTATGTTCTGCTTTGTCAGGGACTGGGCAGGGGAATCTGAACAAGGAGTAGGAGAAAGCTAATTAATTGAGGCAACAAGGATCAACAATAAGAAGTAGGGCAACATAGATTCATCCACAGGAAATCACATTGTCCTATCCTAGCAAATCACAAGTAGGGGTTGCCACAGTGTTCAGCACCCAGCTCTAGATGTAAAAATAACCAACCCACACTTGAGGTTTCTAGCTATGTCTACTCAATATCATGTAGTAGCACCTTAAACCTCCAAGCTGCTTCAGAGTTTGCATGATGATTTCTACTTACAGTGCTATTTCTGTGTTTTCTTCATTTAAAGAAAAAAAGCAGCATTAAGAGCTCAATCCCCTTCTCACTTTCCTGACAAACATTCCCTAGACACTCTCCACAGCCTAATTTTCCCTCTAGACTCATGAATACTGAATTGCTTCCTGAAGGCTGTGACCCCACAACAGGTGTAGGTGTGAAATGAGTCCCTGGATGCTCAGCCAGCCCAAATGGTAACACCTGCACGCACAAGCAGCTGCAGAGCTTCAAGCATCTGAGACTTTCTGGTCAAGATTTTTAAAATGCAGGCTCAAATCTTTCCATAATTATGTGGGGGTTACTTTGACTTTATTTAGAACAAGAGGCATGAAAATATTGTTCTTCAGCCCAAATAAAATCACGAATTTTCAAGGCTGAAATCTAAAATTACTTCTCTCCCATCCACAAAATGGAAACACAATGATTAGTGGCATTTCATAGCACTCGTGTCTGCCACACTTCTTTCTACATAAGATGATTCACTGTATTGTTAACAACTATAACTAATGAAGAAAAATAGGTAAAAATAATAAGTTACAAGAGTTAAAATACATTGTTACTTATCTTTCAAAGAGAAACATCTTGTATCAAAGTCTGTACTAATATTGAATACAGTTATAAGAATATTTGTGAAATTCATTTGAGGAGGAGGATGCTGAATCACACTGATTGTCATAGCCACTTGCCTACAGGAGTTTTGACAAGAAATAAATTTCATTAGTACTAAAATGTGACTCAGAACCAAGAACATTCTGTAGAAGAATGAATAGTTCAAAGTAACTTTTATGGAGTTATCCAAACAGGGCTGCAAGTCACCTGGAGAAATTACTCAGCCTGCTACCTATGCTGAAATTAATAACATCATAGTATTTCCATGACTATCTGAGTGGCTTGGAAACCTGAAGTAATTTACTTTGTTCATATTGATTTTTATTTAAACAACACAATCCAACTGTCTTTCAATTAATTGCCACACATTTAAAACATCAGATCTTCTAAAACACACATATTTTGCACAAAAGTTTTGACTCCAATTGGCACTATATATCTGTTAACAGAAACCATTTTACTGCTGTTGCAGGCAATGAGTAAGCTTGTATTGTCTGGAGCACAAATAACTTGATGATACCTGAGTGACTTAGAAAGTTAATTTAGCATTGAATAAATGCAGAATTAATCAGTACCACATTTTAAAAACACTCCAAATACTGTTCACATCTTGTACTCTGTTAGTTGGAAATTAGCTCGTTGTTTAGTTTCATGGCAATTCCATTATTCACTGGGAAATATTTTTATGTCTGGTTATGACAGATAAGAAACTGTATGCATAGTTTTCTCTGCAAAAGAAAATAATTAAGCAAAGTGGAGAGTGCGTCTTGACAGAAGCATTTACATACATAAGATTTCATCCTGGTGTTCCAGCTGTGGACCTTCTGTGAGCAAATTAGTGATTTTGGGTCTAAGTGCACATACGCAGTAGTAAACAGATTAAGACTCTAAACAGGTTGTATCTGTGACATAAGACATTCAAGAGTTCAAAAACCTGAGATGCACATATTTGTACCATCTGCCTGTTGCATCCCAGCACTACAGAAAGGATAAAACTTGACTGAGCATCTCTGTTCCTCCTGTAGACTAAAACTGTATTAAATGTCTAAACTCACTCCATTTGTACAGTTTGATGCTGCACCCTCCCAACTGTTTTATTTCTGTTTATCATTTTTAGCTTTCCTACACACACTTCTGTTCATTCAAAGGCTTATCTCATTTAATGAGCAGTATCTGTTAAAAACTCAGGAGTTTTACAGTATTGAGATATTTCTTGTCCATAATTTTTACTCTTCCTGAATCATTTGGCTATTGTAAGTTTTTGTTTCTGCTTAGTTTGGTTCTAATGTTCTGCCACTGATTAATTCAAGGACAGGGGTTCCAGCAACCATAAAGTCAGAGCACACAGGAAATAAAGTGTCTCTAGAGATCTCGCCTGGATAGAGAAGCACTCTGTAAAAAAAAGAGCAAGCACTTGTAAATAAGCTATTTCATCCATTCCTTTTTATGTGGCTGTTTCATTTCACTAGGAACTGGACCAAGAAACTACCCTGATGCTGTGATAAATAATATGGCTGCCAATAAAATCCACAGATTTATCCTGTTTAATATATCACTAAGTTGAAAGAAACAAAGAAGATGATGCTTCTGCTAATTGTTGACTTCTGCTGCTTCTGCTTGACATAGAACTAAGATACCAGTACTAGATGAAGACCAGGGGACAGATGCTGTACGTGGAAAACTGAAAGACAAACATCTGTTCTGAGACTGACATCTGAGAATTCAGGCTCTGAGAAAGAAGGTACCTGCAGAGGCAATTCATTACGTCTTTCATCCATGACAAAGTAGGGAAGTCTAGATAATAAACTTAGTCTCAATATTTACCTTTTAAATCACTCATATTAGGTCAAGTGAGGCAAATCCTTTAATACTTTTATAATGAAAAACTAAGCTAAAGTAGCAATAACATTATGCCAAGTGAGACCCTTATAGCTGTACCAGGAAGGAAAAAAAACTCAGAAGAGAATAGAAGGAAACTCTAATCTCATTTATAATTCTGATGTATTTTCTTTAATATATAGGTAAATGTTGCTGCCAGAGTTCATCATACATATACATACTTCAATTTCTACACCTTACACAAGTAGAAAATCTCCCCTAGGTGTTCCATTTCACTAAGTTTGGAGCACTACCTGCTTCGACTCTGGAAAGAACCACAAATCAATAACATTAAATTGTAGCAAGATGTTTGAAAGGGTATCTAGACATATATTAAGAAGCAAAGACTGTTTGCACTTTGCTGAAGAAGTGTAGAGTATGCTATTTGAAATTACTATTAAAAATGTACCTCGTGACATTCCCATGGATCAGAGAACAAAAGGTATAAAAATATAATAAAATTTCTGCCATTCAAATAGCAGCAAAATGGAACCTGAATCGTGAAATGAGACTTCAGGAGAGAATGTGTAAAAAACAAAGAACAAAATGGGCTGAAATCAGCAACTGCCTTCTTAATTTCTGAACATGTGACCCTTTTAATAGACCAGTTTACCCTGTGACAAAGCATTACATGCTCTGCTTTGATGCACAGTGTGTGCAGGGCCATTTTGTGTGATGTATTTGCAGGTTACTAAGTATATATAACCAATCTGTAGGCTGACTTGATACCAACCACACAGGTGTCATTCATCATTAGACAGATGGTATGAATTCACAGTGACATGTTTTGTGATACTAATTTTTTTTTCACTCTACAAAGGACTGCTTGCAACTGTCTCCAACTCTATTACACTGGCAGTAATCAAAAGCACATTCTGTAATCTCTAATTCTTAATACAAAATTAGCAGAGTAATCATCAGGACATAGATATTCAAAGGACCTGGATTTGCCTCCTGTTGTTGGGGAGCAGGTTTGTAAAAGCATGTGTGGTGAGCTGAATTTGTTCATTTTGCCACAAGTAAAGTTTGTGAACAACATGCTCTACACTTCAGAGATTACAAAAGCAAATAATTTGAATAGTGAATGCTAACCAAACTGTTTCTACCTGAGACAGATTTAGTGCATTTCCCACTTGTTCAGAGAAGGAATATTCCCATTTTCTAAGTCAGCAAAACATCTGTCTACTTTTCTGCAGGTCCAGAATCACTTTTTGATTGTAGTAAAGTTTACGAGGACACTCAGAGCACGTTCATGTCCCCATCAGAGAACTCTTGCATCTGGCAATTGTTTGTCAGGTTTAGCAGCTGCTAAATGGAAATAATACAGACAAGAACAAGCCAAGCATACTGTTGCTATTGTAATGCCTAATTATTCATATGGTAAGTGCTTTACACTGGCATTTCATTTGATTTG